AATCTCATCAGTGTGTGCCTCCAACTACTTCCAGATACTTGCTTTGCAACAGCCCACCTCCCTGCATAGCTCAGAGTTTCAGACATTTGAGTTCAAACAGCCATTTCCCATTTTCTAGTTCCACAGCACTTCCAGCATTTCTGCTAAAGGTCCAAAGGTGCACCTTTTTTTTTTTTCTTTGCCAAATATCAATACCTGTCAGAAGCAGATTTTTAAAATCTATTTCATATTTAGGGCCAGAGTACTCTGTAATAGCCCCAAAAATGTCACCTGATCCATTCAATATGGATCCAAAGACAAACACACTGTATCTGATTCAGGATATTTATTCCTTTCTTCTTTGGGCAACTGAATAAAAGGAGTTAGAGCCTTTATATTAGGTCTTCAGAAGCCACAACACTCCAAAATATCTTTGTATTCTTTTCTTTCCAAATAAAAAGGAACTATCTTTTTAAGGATATATAAGGAAGATTTTTAAACTGTCTTTTTTTTTTTCCAAAATGTCTCATCCATTTCCACTTGAAGCTGAAAAGAAGTTTGGTTAAGAAATAAAAGGTAGTTACAATTGCCATGACTCAAGAATAAAGATGTCAGATTTGTCTGAAAAGATCTTTCTCAAGAAGTACTTCGTTTCTCTATCGCCACAATGTCATATCAAAGAAAGTCATTATTTTGACATTATTTATGACTGTACCAATGCATGTAAAATCCTATAAATGCCTGAGACTGAAATTATAAAAAATTGAGAGCTCTTTTCCTCCAAGTTTTGGAATATTTCTCTCCAAGACTATGCCATAAAATTATCTCTCTTGCTAAGATACAGATGGGTAAATGACCTGAAAATCCAGCTTGTTAAGTGAAGAATGGATGAAATGATGGCTACAGAGTTATATAGCTACTCATGTAACAAAGACTGTTAAGGAAAACCAGGCTTGGCTAGAACAGAAATTAGGCAGAATTCAAATTTACAGTAAACAGGCATTGACCAGAAGATCACCAAAGGAAATAAGATAATACTGCAAATTATTTAAACTGCAAAACCTCCCCCAGCCTGTTCCCAAACCTGCCTTAACATTGCATGGTTCCTACAGAAAAAAGGATGGTTAATACAGTCCTAAACACAGCCTTCAGACAGGCCTAGATGCAACTGCAGAGAAGTGCTAATTGTAAGGGCTGTGTCCTGCTCTTAAGCTAAATCCCTGGACACTTCAATACCCTTTTTATAGGCGTTAATTATGGCATTTTGCTTCTTGATTGTGCTTCAGGAATAACCTGCTTCTGCATTTCTGGACTTGTCCAGTGGAAAATAAACGTGCCCTTTGCCCAGGGAGGATCCTGCCCAACCACTCTAAATTTGTTTCTTGGGTGGAGAAACATGCCAGGTCGAGCTCAAATCATGTTCCAAACAGCACAATAATATCAAACAGACAAAATATCTTAGCCCAGATACAGAGAAGAGCCAACAGAGAACTAATGGCTACTTCTGTTCATATTCCAGTGCTCCCACAGAAACTCTCCAGAACTCCAAAGAGTTAAGCAGCTTCCAGAGATGATCAATGAGGGAAATCATCACATCTAATGTCTTTACAAAGGAAGATAGAAAGAGGTGGGAAATAGGAAGACAAAGGGGAAAGCAGGCTCAGAGGAGAAAATGGCTACATATTCACACAAATAAACAGGAGTTTTATTTCCATGTGCTGCAAATTGTGTTGTGGAAAAAAACTGTCCTGATTAAAACTACACCTACATGCTTAACACATGGTCGTTACAACACGACAGGACTACTTCCAAGTGTACATATAAAGGGAGTGCTGACTGATCTATTAAACACGTGTACACTTACCTAGTCAGCAAATAGGTCAGTGATCACCACTTACTCTGCTTTTTAATAAAGGGATTTGAGAATATTCCCTATCTTAAAAGAAACACAGATTTTTGTTATTCTTTTGTGAACTAGAATGAGTGCATTATAGTAGCTGGAAAAAAATATAAAAAGCATCTTAGTTTGTTCTTTTTCTTTAGTTTCTCCCTAGTAATATATAACTTCAAGTTATGGTAGGAAAAAAGGGGAATAAATTGGCACATGCTATATTTTATTACTGATTTTAGAAAAAGCACCAGCAGGTTTTTATGAAACACACACAGTGCCTTACATTGTTAAATTCTTCAGGGTAATCTGGCTTGTTTCTTACTGCTGGCAATGGGAAACAGTAGTGAGATTGCCAAGACTTTGATTCTTCATTCCTCTGGGCTCCCAGTGCCTCCCAGAACCTCGAAAGCGCCAGGATCCACGACTCCTTGGTAACAGGCACTTAGGCGTGACCCTGGAGCTGCAAAGCCAAATGAACTATACAGAAAGGACCCCGCAAGCCCTAAAATCCCCCAAAACGCATAGATGAGCTGGTAATAGAACTCGCACAATTAGATCAGAAGCTTACCTACGGATTGTCTGAAGTTTGTGAAAACTGAGACACACCTCAAAACCAGCAACAGTCATTTTTCCATGAAAAATGAGATCACTGAAAAAATTCCTAGCACGCTTCAAAGCCACAATCAGTAACTAAGGCAGAAATCTAGCTTTAGGTTGGAAAGAGGACTTTGATCTTTGTTGGTCATTTAGTAGCTTCCACAGCTGGGGACAGCACAGGTCACAGATGACTCCCATTAATCTAATGGCTCCCAGTAAGAGAGAGAGGGAGGAAAGAGGCAGCTTCGTGCTACCCTTTGCTCCAGGATGAGCTTGGTAACACAAAAAAAGTATCAGACACAGAGCAGAAAAACCAGGTAGTTTGCAGTATAGTAGTTGCTGTGTTTGGCAATGTAATAGCTCTAGTACAGGTCAAAATCACTTCAGATCTTTGCATTTCAATTTAATGGGACTAGCAGTCCCATGTTAGCTTTTTTTTTTTCACATGTTATTAGACAAATATATGTAATTTCATTGTGTGTCAAATGTACTGCGGATGCTGCTGGAAAACTATTTAACTGAATTAGTTTATGAGGTAGCACTCAGGCTACATGAAATAATGTTACGTATTAAAACTAAGCTGGGTAATCTTATTCCATTAAGAGGAGTCTCTCTTTGCGGAATATATCTTATTTTATCAGCCTGAACTTCAGCTGATTTTATTTTTTTACCTCTCTTTGTCCAGATCCACCTTGTTTGTGGTGAACTTTCCAAACTCACATGGCAGAGTATGTGCCCACCAATACTGGAAGCATCTAGCAAAATGAGCATTGAGGATGCTCTACATGTTCTTATACCCATAAGAATGAAAATAAGCAAGGGAAAGCCTTAATTTCCTTCCCTTCTCAAAACCCTGAAAAAGCACTCATTTCTTTTCCCTGACCCAAAGACAAGTATGTTCGGAAGACGCAGCTAAACAGAATATCTATGCAGTTATCTAAGTGCTGTTATCCTGCATGTAGATTCAACACATCACCTCCTCTTATCGTGGAACTGACCAAAAGCTCACTAAAATCAATGAGAATCCTTCTATGAACTTCAATGAGCTTTGGATCAGAGGAATCCTGCACAGGAGCACAGCTGAGCCCCCAGGCAGGAACACGTTCCAAAGTGTTTGGAAAGGACCTTTTGCTTACCAGCATTTGAACCTTTTAAATCAGGGGCAGGAAAAGGAAAAGTTCCAAGAACAACCCTTTTCTGACATTACCTTCTTTTTCTTAATGTTACATATTTTAATAGTAGGTAGAACAGATGGTGAAATACAATCTCTCCGCTGAGAACTAAATGACAGCGACTAGCTGTAGGGGACACTAAAGTATGAAAGAGAAGGAAATGTACAAATAATGAAAGTACATTTTGTCCAACTTGCTTTTGATGAGGCATAAAATAAAACGTAAATAATTTCTATTAGGAGGAAATTAACATAACTACTTTGGTATTTGCAGTCAGAATGAGCTTGTATTATATAACCTGGATTTGGAACTGAGGTAGCACAATACCATTTACCTGGGTTTGAAGTAAAGATTATATCAATACAATTTTCACCATCAGTAATAAAGCACAAAACTGATACCATTAATATGACTGATAATAAAGAGATTTGATTAGTCTCAACTTCGATAGGCAATTAAAAAAAAGAAGAAAGGAAATGTTGTTTAGCTGTATGTGAACAAAGAGGCTCTATTAACCTGGGTTTCCAGTGAAGAAAAGTGTCAATATTACTAACACAGGTTTGCAATTAAGTTGGTGTCAATGTGGCTGGGAAAAGGAGTTCATAATTAGGACAACACAGTTAGTATTGACCTGAATTTTCAATAAAAATCATGTCTGCATTTTAATTTGGAACTGTAAAATTCATCCGTGTGTTCTACAAATGACCATATAATTATTAACTTGTAGTTACTTTAAAATTAGACAATTATTTACATAACATGTTATTTTTTACATAACCACATGCCCGCTACAATGCAGGTTTCCCGGAAGTGTCCAACACTTAAAATTAAACTTCTACATTTCTTTGCAAAAGAATTACAAAGGCTTTAAATACTTTGCTCCAGGAAGACTCCGTGTTCCAGCTCCAAATATTGGTTTCTTTATTAGAATTACTAGTTTTACTTAATTACTAGTTAAATCTCTATTAATGACCTTACAAATAATTATCATACCCATTTATTGTAAATATTCTCAATGCTTCTAGTGAAAGTGATCAAGAGGGTACTTAAATGGAAATAAATTGGTTGTTTAATCAGCCTTATGCATTTTAATGCAGAAAAGCAACAACGAGAAGAGTGTTTATTTTAAAGTCACTTTAGAACCCAAGTGTGCACTTTTTTGCTCTTATTTTTCTATGTAAATCCAAGTCCAATATATCAAAATAACACTCAAGTATAGGCAAAAAAAAGATTTTTCTTAGGGGGAAAAAAGACCCCAAAAACCACTTTTATGTTCTCTTTCCATGTTTCCTCACAATAGAAAAGAAGAACATGAGCCCAGCAGCATTCTTTAGCTCAATCTTTTCTATAAGTAACCTTACCTCCTTCTTCTTCTTCTTTTCTTCCTTCTTTTTCCTCTGCACCATGAATCAAAGGTATCTCAACTTCTGTTATGTCTTCTTGCTTCAACAATGGCTCTGAATAAATTTGATAAAAAGAAGATGAACAGTAAGGCTTTTCAGAACAGACATAAAGGGATCAACATACACTAGAGATTACCATTAAAAACACCGGCAGGGGAAAAGGATCCTTTCCCCCAAGAGTAGAGATTCAAAAGCTGTCTCAGGGAAATCCAAGGGGCTGTAGTTGAGAGCAAGGCCTTGATCCTCCAAGATGCTGAGCTTTCTGGGATTTCACACATCTGCCTAGCTCCAAGCATGGGCCTTCACTGGGATTCACCACAAGCCCAGAGACACACGTACTCAATTTTGCTGGGCTGGGGACAGAGCACTCAGTGCTCCCAACAGACAAGGCTGAAGTGCTTGTCATCAGGAATAAGAAATGCAACGTTCGCTTCTTTCTCTAACAGCTGCAGTCATTAAAAAGCCAGAATCCATAGATACTCCTCTGCTCAGGGCTGAATTTATAGTTAGTATAAGGAGATCTGGCTCCACAGATTTAGCTCAGTAGGTATGGAGAAGGAAAGGGAACTTAAACACTACTGATAACATCCCAGCAGTAACTAGTGGTTTTGCCTGTTAATCTCGCTCGTTGGTTTCAAGGCGCTTGCAGTACCTTCTATTTCCACGCAGGAGCTTTGGGAGTCTGCCCCAGTTTTCATCTCCTCCTCTGCAGAAACATCCTGTTTTCCTGTTAACACAACAAATTGAAAAAGACATCAGCGTGATGGCTGTGTGCAGGCAACGGCAAGTTCATCAGAACAGGACACAAACCCAAAATACAGCATGATACTTTTCAGACAAGTACAGATTTTTTTTTCTGTAAAACAAACAACGTTGGACTTATTTTATATATGAAAATACCACTTAACCAACTCTAAGCATTAAGATATTAAATGGCTGCTTAAATCTGACCCTGCGTCACTTCTTTCCCCCTCCCCTTCTGTTGTAGCTCAGCCTTGACACACTATTTCTCATAGGAGCTGTTGCAAAACGCTCGCACTTGCCAGTCAGCGTAGCAGAAGGCACAGAATCAGCCCACAGGCTTTTAGAGCAACAACAAAAAAGAAGGACAACAACAACAACGCTATGCACCCGGGATCAATATGGTTAAACCCAATGTATTTGCAGATGCCTGTCTTTTCCAGCAACACCAGAGATTACCGCACCACAACTGGTTGGCACACAACCTCTACCAGCCCACAGCATTTCCTTAAGGTGGCAGAGATCAAGCTGAAACCCACTGGATGCCGAAACTGGAAGAACTAAGGTTCCCAAATGGTTCGTTATCTCCACCTTAAAGAATTTCGACACAAAACTTTACCTTCGGCTTGATCTTGTTCATACCCCACAAGACGCACCGGGTCACTCTCCTGTGCGCCTTTGGAGTCTTTCGGGGAATCTGAGGAAACAGCAAACAAACAAACCAACCAACCCTGCAGCGATTTTTCATGCTGGAAAAGGCTGGTAGTTTCTTCAGACACAGGGAGCCCGTAGGTGCTGGCTTCATATTTGGCATTGTGATACACTGACAGATTTTCTGTCTGTTTAACCACAGTTATATACTACAAAAGTTTACTCGTGGGTTTCAATTATTCAAATTGATTTCAAAACCTGTACACTTACTGAGCAGTTTTTTTGCCTGCAGTACAAACCTTAAACAAGGAGCTGGCAAGAAAGGATGCGTACGAATAATCAGCAGCACTACCAAGAATTGTATTTCTAATGAATGGAGTGGCACAAAGCTATGAGAAACAGCAGGAACTGCATACTTAATAAATAAAGTGATTTCTTATTTATTTAGAACAACACCACTTTCCATGGTTGGATTTCCACAAGCTTGACAAACATTAAATCCTTTAAATCCCAGTGCAAATCCTAGCCTCATTTCACTTGATGACAGAACTCCCAAGGTCATTATAGTGGCCAAGACTGCTTTTCCTTTTGGGGCAGACCATCAACATTGAACTGCCCAAAGCCATATGCTGAACCAGTGTCACAGTGAGGTCTAAATTAGACGATCTAAGTCCCATAGCTACACTATCTGCAGTCTTCACAAACACAGGGCATTATTTTGTTGTGTTGAACAAAATTTTCTGACAACGGCCACTCCTTAGTTTTTGTGTGGAGATGGAGAAATGCATCATTCCACCGCAGTCAGGAAATCACAGCAACAGTCCCCCATTTTAGCTCTGCTCATCCACATAACACATTGCTTTCACTGGATAAAGAGCTCTCCTTGAGCCTTGTTAAAAACCACTGCTGATCTAACTGGACATTTCTGCACACTACAGGGGTAAGTACATTTGAGGTCATAATGACAGTAGCAGAAAATCACTATTTGCGCTCCAGAATGAAACACTTCCTAAAATGCTGCTGGATGGAACGCTGAAGTCACAGTGCCAAAAGATCTATGGCGCACGCTAATAAATGATGCTCTGGCAGCCTTGTTACGGTTCTGCTCCTGGAAGGTCCCTTTCTACACTACAGCAGAGCAAATCCCGCGATATACCAAAGGATGCCCCTGTAAAACTCTGCTCCTGAAACTTGCCAAGAATAATCTCTGATGGTTAAGTGAGAAAGCTGGGTTGTTAACATCTGATCCAAATTTAATAATCTGTAGAAAAGGTATGCACTGAAAGTGTGTGGCTTTAATTAACTGCAAATAATCCCCCAAGGCAAATATTTAATTACCTGCACAGCTTCTTACTTCTTTCATGGCATGACAATAAGTTTATAAATCCAAGTTTGAAAGCAGAATATCTCACTGATGTATAATTTGCTAAAATTTTGCCCTTGCTGTACTTTTTTTCACCCTACTGTGGGCTTAAAATGCTACTCACTGCTATGAGCCGGACCACTGTGCTGGCCTTTCATGCCACATTGTGCCATGAGTTACAAGGGATTACCCTATCAGCCCAAATCAGAGCAAAAATAAATTAGAATTCCATCAAAATCCAAGTTTAATCAAAAAGCCAGTTGAAGAACCTCTTGGTATACATGGGGACGGCACTAAAAATCTGTTGGGAATTTTTCAAACAAACTTTAAACCCATTGAGTGAAATTTTGGCTTTGCCAAAATTTTTGACAAAGCTTTCACGATATCAAAGAAGCCAAGACTTGTACTACCTGTAGCCCCATACCTTAAATTAATAGAATGTTTTTTCTGTATGACTGAATTACATGTTTGTAAAAGAAACTGTACTGAATAAGCTGGAAGCAGAAGATCTCTGCCTTAAGTCCTGTGCAGCCAGGGCCCAAACCCAGCCCTTCACCCAGCCAGGAGTGATGATAACGTGTGATATTACCTGCTGTGGGTGGGAGAGATGCACGAGGCACGGTCCCATCGGACCCTCAGAGTTATCTTATCCTACAGCTATTGCACAGTACTTCACACTCCCAGACCTGCGCCTTTAATCTCAGTTCACTTGTGCCACCTTTTCTCCTAGAATGAGGAATGACTCCAATTTCATGCAAAAATCAATCCCCAGCATCAGAGGAACAATTACGCGCTTTGGTCAATAATAACGAATGGAGTTTAAGGAGGCTGGTGCGTGGCTGATGTATGTGCCCCATCAGGCTGCTGTTTGTCGCGGAGCATGGCACGGCTTAGGGCACAGCAGGGCTGGGGCAGAGCACGGGGGAGCTGTGGCTGCCCCCAGCCTTTGGCACAGCTGGCAGACAGACCCCGCAGCTGTGCCGAGCCCCACAGGAGGCGCCGCAGCCCGAGACCACCTATGCTATTTGGCACATCTTCACACGTTCCCGTTGCTGGCTCCGCACACTTTATTATTACGGGATCGTAACTTTGCATTTAAACTTTCATTCTGATCGTAAACGGTTTTCTAATTGTTCCAGGGTTCAAGAAAGCAATTTAATTGCGCAGAATTCCAAATTATCCCAGGCAATATACAATGATAATTCTGCACGAGTTATTTTTTGTAAAGTATGTTTCTGAAAAGAGCAGAACATGGACAAGATTTACAAGAATCCCCACTCTTATTTCAGCAGTAGGAATCAGCCTTTGCATTAGTATGCAGATTCTGAGTTTCAAAATCTTTAAGGTCAAGACCATGTCAAAGATTTCTTCTTTTCAAATGCAAATATTAGATCAAATATTCAAGCCAAAAGGTCCAAAACCAGATTTACTTTTAGGATTAACAAGAATAAAATAAAGCAAAGGAATAAACCCAGATTTATGAAGAAAATCTGAGCCAAGCAAGAGTAAAAGTGCAAGACCAAATGCACTGGTCAATAAAAGCTATTCCCAAATTGGATACAAGGCAAGAGTGCCACCTCTATTTTGAGGAGTCAGCGGTGGGAATCCCACAAATGCTGATCATATACTACTCTCTACGTGCAAGTTTTCAGTAGGCTAGTGGTGTTTCTGGAGCTCAGCTGGTCCTCTGTGTTTGCCTAGACCTTTAGAGCCTCATGCAACTGGGCATAAGCCAGTATCATAGTCCTAAATGATTCCGGGGTCTACAAAAGCTCTGGCCATCCCTACAGCCTTCGTTCATCTCAAATTGGGATGGGAACTAACGACTTTTTTAAACTGCGTAAAGCAGTGTTACTCTTCTCCTAACCCAGCTACTTACATATTAAGTCACAGCAGACAATCCAAGTCAGGATATTGTTTTGCAGCTGAGTTTTTTGATAACACACTTGGCACTATTTACCTTGGGTAACCCCAAATTGGGACTGTAAGGGTTAACATTCCTCCAGGCAGGACTGAAAATAATCAGTGTTTCTGATGCTGCACTGGAGCACAGTTCTTAATGTCATCATTGATCACACATGAATGAACCAAACATGACATTTAATGACAGAAATGAACCAAAGCCAGGCCACTTTTACCTACTGCACAGCCAGCAGTGAAGCGTTCACTGGAGTCTGAGCATCTCTTAGTTCCTTCAAACCTGCTTTTTCAGGCTTGGTGGCTGCAATGACAGTGGCACTTGGCTCTGCACCCCTCCCTTGTATGGAAACCACTGTCTCGTGGGGCTGCAGGGTTGAATGCCCTGACCTTTAACAACCCATGAAGAAAATATTTGGACTTTCAGTAAGCCAATCAGAATACTCCACAAGTATATTCGCCGCCCCAATATATCAACTGCATGTTGAATTCAGCTGCAAGAAAACCGTGTAGCTTGCAGTAAACTACCAATCCCACCCATCCTGCCAATAATCAGGCACTATTTTGCCTAAATACTGCATAAACCCCTATGTTTTTCTTTGCCATTCATATTTTTTTTCTGACTGTATGAAGCGATGTTGCTTAAACAAAATTTTGCAAATGCTAAAGAAGAGGAGAAATGGTAAGATCTGAATGTTAAGTGGTTTTAATGATCTTTTAAAATTCACTTCCCCAGCTACTCTCTGTATGGCTTATTTACTGAGTCGTTTCTAATGTGCAACACACCTGGGTCCCGCATACAGCATAGATAAATCACCATGTTTTAGGGAGCTGTAAGAAGATTAAAGAGGGAAAAAGCTGGTCATTATGAAAGAAAGAGGTTCAGTGCATTTTATTTTTTAAGCATGATACTGTGAAAAATGACTGGAATATTTCCAGAGTGAAAGAAATCAAGCAGGCGTCTAAAATTACAGGTAATGGTGTGCACGGAGCCTGCCACATGATTAGGGTATTCTTTTGCCTCATAAACTGAGGAAAATGTGTTAAAATGAAGTACTATAAAATGGTGATTTATGAGAAGTTAGGGAGATATTCTTGAGCTTTGACTTTAAAATGTTATTTTTATATCCACCAAGATTTCATTTTAATCTATCTTTATGACAGATTAGATTTATTGGAGTCCAAGTTTATACGGCTTGGTAAAACAGACCTTTCTAGGTGCAACAACCTGTAGAGATATTTTTGTGAGTATTCGGGTAATAGACCAGGCAGTTCATCTCCACAGGTGGGGTCCAATGAGTAATGCTCCCACTGGCTTATGCTGCCAGCCAACAGAAGGGCATCTCCTCTCACCTCCCCTTCTGTCCACAGGAGACATTTCAGGTGCAGCTGGTATCATAACCATGGGCATCCTGCTGCTGCTGTAAAGGGCAGGGTCTGTTGTACAGGGCTCCGGGAAAGGAGTAAGCTGAGGAAAAACCTGTCTGCCTTGGTTAGACCCTTCCCAGGAGAAGACACTGCGTAGCCGAAGGTAAGGGTTGAGTGGGGGTGAGGTGGAAGGAGTAGATGCTCACATCGGACCGATGGGAGCGCAGCTGGATGGCTCCAGGTCAGCTAGTATGTAAAAATAAGTTGGATCTAAATAAACCAGCTAGGGAGATTAGGGTCAGCTGTTGCGGCTGCCTGTACTGGTGAAGGGGTACAGCAAAAATACCTCTGGAGCAGTTTATGGGCTGGACCTCCTCTGGATGCACAATGCCACAGATAGGTCAGATTAAAAAAGACAAGCAAATAACCCGCATTATGTACAGCTGAAAGTGACCGTTAGGGAGGGTGTTAGGAGAACAGGCACCGGGTTGGATGGTGATGGTTATGTACCTGGTTTAAAAAAACCCCAAACCACAGCATTTAGCTCGTGTTAGCCAATTTGCTTTCATAGAAACCCTTCTAAGCAAGGGAGAGACAAATGTTATCACTGTACCTGGCACACAGAGCCTCAGCTATGGTTGGGGGTGTTGAAACTCTTCTATTAAAAAAGGTTCTTTTTCAGTTACCTATAATTGAAATTTTTCAGGCTGAAATTTTCCAGGTCTAATCATAGCCCAAGGGTGAAGTAAAAACATTTCATTGGGAGCTGCTGAGCGCTCAGCACTTCTGAAAATCGGGTCATTCATTTAGATGTCTTAATGTATACTTAAGAGCTGATTTTAAACACCTCTTTTTGAACATATTGGCCTTTCAGTCAATCTTTTTCACCTACTTATCAATGTCTAATTTACGTCGATTTGCAGAGCTGCCCTGCATTTGAAATGCTCTATCTTTCAATTTATCCTTTCTCAACCATTTATGTCTTTAGAACATCCAGATTTTTCCATGGTGAGAACTACAGCTGGCCAAACAGGAATTTTATATCCATTATGTCTTACAGGCAGGATACTGACAGGCTCCTGGGTTGCACAAAGTGAGTTTTCAGGGCTAACCCCTAGCCAAGGCTATATCTAATTCTGGTTCTGACAACATAAGCCCCCCAGCTGACCGAACCTGACTCCATTTGAGAGACCACAGAAAAACAGTGACTTGCTTTAAATGGTACTCCCACAGGAGCACAGACTTTGGTGAACACCTGGAAATAATTAATTGCTACTTTATTTTTAAAATTAATTAGCATATGATTTAATTTAGTTGACCTTCAAATGAAAATTCAGTTCTTATTAAGTGCTAATGAATTAAACTCAGCGTATTGTGCACAGAAACTTTGCCATGATTGCATAGTGGGGAGTTCATTCTTCACCTCCACTAAATCCAGTTCCTTTTTTCATTTTTGTACCAGAAAGCCCTATCATTAAATCAGGTTAAACAGTAACTGGAAGACGCAGAACACTCTCCTCTCACACAGACACACGCATACATACTCCTTTTAAAGAAAAATAATCAACAGGTTCAAACCAATTCACAGCTACATATAATATGGTGCATTTAAAATGAATTTCTAGTCCCAGCACAATCTTGTATGGACAGGCACACTAGACTGAGTGCAGCCTGTCTGATACGTTTTATCTGCTGCATAAACATTAATGACTTTAATCACTTTGTTCTGCCCTTACACTTCATAAAGAGAAGCATCTCTAACTTGAAATACGCTGTGTATAAAGGATCTACTTCCATATGCACAGTAATGAAGCGCTACGAAGGTGCTGCCTAGAGATGTCAGCTCTCCCCCCAAGAGCTAATAGTTATGCAGGCAAGTTTTCAAGGGTAAAATTGCAACACTTCTTTGTGATATTTCCAGACAGTGGAAATAGAAATTTGGCACAGCCTGGAATAAGTGGCCACCTCCACAGCATAACATCAAACATCTTGATATTCTTGGAATATGACTGTTCTGCCTTTTTTTTTTTTCCTTCCCCTGAGTATAGACAAAGAACTCAAAAAATTCAGTCTGCTCAAAGGCCACATGCAAACTGGGACCACGTGGACTTTTTTTTTTCTGGACAGTGTCTATTGTGAATAACAAAAAAGATAAACTTTCACATCAATATGAATTTGTAATCTCACCGTAGGTTTTCCTTATAATCTAAGCCCCTCAAAACGTGATTCCTGTGCTGTTGTTCGCACTTACCATGAAACACCCCTTTCGCATCCCTCTCTCTCCCCTTTTCCTTTAAAAAATCCTGATAAAGACAACTCAGCTAAGAAAAAGATACGTGAATTTCATGGTAGCAGAGATGCATGTGCTATGTTTTGAGTATCACCACATTTTAGAGCAATAAATAACTATGTCAATGTGTTTGCTATGTTCTAGAAGTACATGAAAAAATAAGCAGAAAAACTACTAGTCAACTCTAATTGGAGTTAAAATACTTGTTTTGGTGCACTCACCAGACCTAACATTTGAAAAACTCCTATACTTCCATAGTAGGCTTGGAAACCTCCTATTCCGAGTGATTTAAACTATGCATTTTGGGAATATGTAGCCTAGACTTATTTGCCACAAATCTGCTCTCACAGTAATTAGGTGGAAGGACTGGAAAAACATAATTTCTATAAATGCTTTGCATCCAGTTCATTTAGTTGAAGATAAACTACAGAAATGAGCATGCTCCAGAACCTGGCAGGTTTTAGCTGTGTTAACTCAGTGGGCAAACAATCTGAAGGCTGAAATTTATTTCAGGAGCAGCAGGTGTTTTCAGAAATGGCAGGATTTTGTAAAAGTGCCACTTCCCAAGTGGTAGCAAGTTTTTCGTAACACTAGTATTCATTTTAAAACAATTCAAAATCTAAAATCTGAAAAGTTTAAAGTCCACTAATGGAAATAAGGATTAAAACCACAGCCTGGTGGATGCAGCAGCCTCTTTGCTCAAAATTCTTGGTTACATTTAAAAAATTTGCAAGCAAATCCCCAAACACATTCTTTCCCACATCATTCCTTTTTTTCTACTTGTATGACTTCACAAACAAAATAAATGGAGGAGAGTCTCTCTTGCTCCTTTTTCTCCTACCAGATGCTTTCTGTCTTACTTTTGAGGAGAGGTAGGACATCAAAGAGAAACTGCCCTTTGGATTTCTCAGAGTCCTATCTCTTCTGTCAACCTCTCAAGAGAAGAGGGGAAAACACTACACTCAGCATATTATAGGAAAAGTGAGATCTAGAGCACCACTATGAGAAGGTGGTGCTCTAGAGACCTGGTGCTCAGGTCTCTTCCTGAGAAGAGACAACTAATACAATGGGTCAAAAAACTGGAGTGGTTACACATTGAGATGGTCGCTGAAGCAAAGCAGAACACAGTGGCTTCAGAGTCAGAACAAGCACCCAAAGCCGTACTAAAATGTTGGGATCTTTAGTAAGACTGCAGACAGCAAAAAAAACCCAAACCCAAAGCTTGACCACGACCCTCACATTATGAAACATGAAAACCACATCTGATGGGGGATCTCATAGATACAGGATACAATAAACAGGCCAAATGTCCGCCAAAAAAAAAAAGATAAATGAATGACAGGCAATCACCAACAATGCTGAGACTGAATCTATCACAATTTCTGCCTTCCGCTAGCCTTGCCACAACTTTAATTGGCAAAAGATATCAAAAGCCAGTGCTCCAGCAAGGGTTGGTGGGTTTTTTTACCCCTGCAGGGTTAATCAATCAGTTAAGAAAGCACTTAAATCAACCTGCACAAGGCTTTGAACTCATAATCAGGTAAGTATGTGAGCTCTCTAGAATGTGTCTTGGGAACAAAAGGCCAAGATCTCACACCCCGTCACACTTATCTAGAAAAATGAGAAGAGAGTCAAGCAGTGACGCTGAATTACACTTTAAATCTTTTAAAATAAATAAGTTAATGGATGTTAATAATTATGTTATCTCAGTAAAACGCATTAAAATTTTCTATTAGTCTTTCTTGAAGGCTGCACTGATGGACTGTATTTATTATAGATAGCATAACTGTTTTGAATTACCAGTAGCGAACATTTTATAAATCACCCAGGCTTTTTCCTGACGTACCCCCACAAAAATGCCCAAAACTATAGACCGGCACAAGCAATTAATAGCGTGATATCATAAAAGTATCAAAAACAATACGTCTGTGCACTGGTTCCTATCTGTAAACCAACAGCTCCACAGGAAAAATCTCAGCTTGAAACATTTAAATTAGATCATCTCTCTTTCTTGTTTCCTAAACTCCCTGTCATTTGGCCCCGTGACACTTTTAAATATTTATCACAAACTAAATGATCTGAGTGCCCAGCACAGTCTGCACAAGATAAACATTACTTTCTCCCTCTCAATTATGACTTCATCTCCTCCTGTCTCCTCTTGATGTGTTTATAGCTATTGTGTTTTTCTTTTTCCCCATCAGGAGAGCACCAAATAGGGAACTAATATTGCTGAGATAGATGTGCACGCTTAACTTCATGCCTGTGAGTCACCCCAGCGAGCCCAAGCTTTGGGCTTATTTCTGATATGTCATGTATGATATTTTAGTATTAGCTCTATAACAAGAGGACTTAGGAATTCACGGCATCTCTCCTACCAGCATAACAGCTGGTGCCAAGTACTTCATTACAAAGACTTTTGCAAATGAAAATCCAAGCATTTACCTATTTCTGTATTGTTTAACTGTGATTTTGGCAATTTCCAGACAAAGGGAAATAAGGATTTACGAAACGTCCTCTTGGGAATGGATATTTTGAAACGCAATTTACAATCTGTACCTTTATCCTCACTCAGCTCTGTTTCTTCTGATGATGATAGGCTGGCTACAGCTGAAGGTTTTGTCTCATCTGTAAGAACCAAGGAAATGAAAGAGAAGTTATTCATTAGGCAGCGAACTGATGAACCACTTTACTGAAAAAAAGCGTTACGCCTTATTGAGGCAAGATACTGGACCTGAATTTGATTTTCTGGGCTTCTATCCATTCACAGTGCGTTCACCGACCATTACTGGTCTGATTGTCTTCCCTAAGCCGGGGTAAACTTACATTACAATACTGCCAGATCAAGTCTATATTACAATTTCTCATAATACAGAGAGGAGAACAGCTATCAGTTTCATGGGTAGGCTGGTGCTGCTATTTGCTTAGAGAGTCCATTTTTCATTTAATCCATCTATTTTGAGAAAAAAACAATTAAGCCATTCTCAACTTTAATCATGTCCACGAATCCCATTGGAATTAAAATGATTACATGCAAATGCTTTCCTGAAAATAGAAGCTTTCAGGAATCAGGCCTGAAATTTGGCAAGTCCCTGAAAAATCTGTGGCTTGGATTTTTTTTTATTGGTAGCGCATGCAGGTAAAACTATTGTACTTAATAGATAGAACTAGTACCTGAATTTAACAGAATTTTTACACTTTCACTGTTGCTTTTTCTTGGCAATTTTTGTAGTTCTAAAACCTTTATAAGCCTTTGTTTTCTTTTCTAGGCTTTCATTTCTTTCAAAAGACTTGCCTCTGATGATTCTGTCAAAATTTTTTTCCTAATACAGTCATCAAGTATTTTTAACTAGCTTGAAACAAGAGCTCTGAACCACCTGCCATGATGTTTTCCCACGTGTTAACTGTGAAGTTCACTGATGATAGACCGGAGGCCAGACTTTAAAAAAACCACACCGTAATAACTGAAAAATTTCAGGCCAGTCTTTGTACACTATATCTGGCTTTTTCACTACTCTATAATAAGAATATATAAATCTTTATGTAACAGACTAGGTAAGAATACAGTGTCTATTTTTTCTCTTGCATTCTCTTCCACAATATCGAAGCATATGATTTGTCATTTGTCACACTCAGGTGAATGTTACGCCTTTTGTTTAGAAAATACAAGTAAGAACCTTAACATTTGATAGGATTGCTCCTTACAGTGATCACATAGTGATTAGAAACATTTTAGGCATAAAACTGCCTATCTTAGAAAATCAGGTCATTTTCTACTACTAAGAAAGAGCACAGAAGCAGCAATCTAAAAGTTCCCAATGATGTTTTGTCTCCACAATGAGCAGAGTAGAAAGGAGGAGCAACTCATTAGCTGAACATAACTAACTTGAGGTAATTGCACACCTCTCTGTTCTTGTCACCATGTGAACCAGTAGGGATAAATGTTAAGCCAAATAATTTTTTCCTGTAACACTGCGTGCCTGTGGTCGAGGAGGTGATTCATGGACTATGCGTAGGCACAACGCTATCTTTAGGCATGTACCTAAAACGCGTTCCTAAAGTATGACATTTTCTGGATCTGGGACTTAAAACGTCTGGATCTTTTCTTTGACACTCTTCATGAGAGCAACAAAACATGACTACCAATATGAGATAGGAAATGAATGTACATCATGGCTCTGATAAACCAGCTCTGACAGCTCGTAACATAACAAGTCATAATGATGGTTTTGGGAAAAACACAATGCATTTAAGACACCTCCAGTAGCAAAGTCAGAATTGAGAGAAGTACATATTCCTTAATTCTCTTGGGAAAAATGAAATGCATCTCATTCAATCAAACTGTTTTGCAAATCAAAATACCAGGGAAATACAGAGTGAGTATCAGAGTGAATATAGCTGACAAGCACAACAGGCTGTATTTGGCATCTGCAGAGAGTAGTGTAACTGGGTTTAACAGGAACCCCTGCAGCTGGAGCCAGGAGCTCCTAGAAGTACTAGTCCTTAGGCGAGCCAGCAGCCAAGCAGGACTTGGTACAGCTAAAAGCTCAATATTGCTTGGGCAAAGCTATGCACCTGCCCAGTCAGAGATTCCAAACAGAATCTAGATTCACAGACCGAGCAACCCATTCCTCCCTTCTGCCTGGTCCCCTTCCCCTCTTCAAAACATGGCTAGCATAAAAGTGAAAAACCCAGGAAAGGAAACGTGGTTGTCCTCCAGCACTTACAAAATACCACTGCACACTTATCTTGGGGAGGATAAAGAGCCCAGGCCCAAAGTTTGCATGGGAATCTGTCCACGGGAATCTTTTTAAATCTATAATACTGTGTGCCTACAGCTTCACCTCCTACCGACTGACCCTTATGAAGACATAAAGAAGAGGTGATAAAGAGGACATGAAACATAGAAGGACTTCAAGCACTTGCAGACAGCATCAGCTGTTAACACCTAGTTGCAGAAGACGGACCTGTGGAGTGCAGGGACACTTCCACATACACATGCCCAATTCTTAGGACAAAAAGAAGGACCCTTATCAAATGAATTCCTCATCTGGAAACAGCCACAATGCAGTAAGCAAACCAGTTAAGTCAAGAATCTAGGCCTTCTGAATTTTTTTGCTGCATTTACTGGCGGGTCTTCTTCAGCTCAATCTTCCCCATATTGAAAACAATCTTCAATTCTGATTAAAAAGAAGAAGTTCTGAAGAAAATGGTTTCATGCATTCTGGATTAAGTATGTGTAGTCTACATCCTGCACTACAACGGCAAAAAAACCCAACCAACCAAACAAGAAAAGCATTGTGTTACGTGCAATGCTATGGTAAAAGAAAACCTTCAAAAATAAGGGGATTTGCAGACATTTTGATTGCCGCTTCAGCTCTTTTGATGACTAATTCTAATTGTCTTTTGCACTGAACAGAGTTGGGTAGGATGAAAAATACAACCATAAACAGGAAATAAAATCTATTGTGAACACAGAGTGACATTATATTTTAAAATATTGAACACACTATAATTTATGAGCATGCCATCTGCAAAATCCACTGCTCGTGAACTCTGACATTCATTCGCAGTATATGCAATATCTTTCTGTATGGATTTAAATCTTCATAACCCCTGAGACTTGTGTAGACAATTTATTAAAACTTGAAAATACCCTTTAAAATCTTCAGAAGTACAGTTTTCATCAAAGGAAGCCTGCTTCCTCCTTCTCCAAATTTCCTTTTCCCCCATTTCTAGCCTGTGCAGAGGGCTATTTTGCTGTAGACAGAGGGAAAATTAGGTCTTTCTAGTCAGAGGATTAGCTAGGGGCAGTCCACCTTAAAGGGAGAAGGTAGAGCTGGTAAACTGAAGAGGGAGGTCTGCATTCCTGCATTGCAATACATTCATTCATAATGAATGGAGCTGTGGTCTCTAATGGGAGAAGTGCTCAAGATCTGAGCTAATCTGGAGAAAATGTACAAACATTCAATAGCATTGACTGAAGTTATTGTTCACCAACGTGGATAAAACCTAAGAAAGCCCTTTAAGGAACTGGGCACAAACCTGCTTCTCGGCTCTGGCCCTCAGTTTCTTCGGTGTTTTGCTTCTCCTCTGTGCCGTCACCACCTATCGAGGAAAACGCATTAAAAAATTATTTATGATATGTCTTTCCATTGGTAACTGCAGCAGCAGTATTAATTGTAACCAATTCAGCACAAACTGCTAATTTAAGGCAAGGTGCCATGATAAAAGGGGAGAGATATAAAGGTAAACTGAAAAAACCTGCAATCATAACTGGTTACATTTAAAACAGTCACATTTTCACATCTCAAGCTGAGGAAGGGGGTTTAGACTCAAGATTTTTATCTCAATAGCCACACTGGAAATATCTGTACACCAAATAAAGGTATGTTTCCCTAAATACTTTCTGCAACAGATGAAATGGTTGCTTGATCTTAGTCTATGTATATTATGAAGGTTCTTTCCTAAGATTATTTTCCTCCAGTAACATTTCCACACGATCCTTGAAGCAGCTGTGTTTCTGACTTGCAGAACCTACTTTTAATGCTTATGGAAAGTAAGAATAGGAGGGGGAGAATCGCCTGAAATTTAGTTTAAAGCAAAAGGCACAACGCCACTTAGGTAAAGTATAAAAACACATCACAAACGACTGCAAAGCAGAGAGCAAAATAAACCAAAGTAGGATTGCTAGGAGTGAATGCATTTTTCCCCTTTTTACATTCACATTCATTTCCAATTTTCTCCACTACTTTGCATTCGCATTCATTATCCATTTTCTTCCCTCCAGCTCCCTTTTGGAAGGCAGGTACCAAATAGCGAATCACCACTGAGGAAAGTATTACCCTGGGGAACATCTACGGACACAAGATCAAGCTCTCTTAACCTTTGCTTGGCCTGATTAGAAATATATCAGCAAGTCTGTATTTTCAACAATGGAGAAGGTTCTTTTGGCTTCCTAATAATCTCAGAGGCTGCAGTGCAGCTTGCTGGCTCAGATGCGATGGCTACGCTCCCTCTTTTCCAGCATGGCGAGACAGACAGCGAGAACAGCTGAGTACCAGCCTTAATGAGGCATTTGAAAAACTGACTGCTGAGCACATACACTGGGAGAAAAGAAATTCATTCCCCGGCCTGTAAATGGCTTGATAATGATACACATATTTTTTGCTGTGATCTTTTCTGGCTCCTGGGTTTTTCTGATTACAGCTTCTCTAAAGCAACACGGTTAAAGTTCCTCACGCCTCCACCTTGCTTTTACTTAACACATGGAGTCTGTTGAGGAGAACAGCAGTAGCCCAAACGCAATTAGGTGCATGGAAGAAAAACAGAGAAAGCGCGTGTTTTTCAGAAGCAAGTGTACATCTGGTGGCACGGTGCGCTCGGCTAAGATTTAAAGGCTGAGGGATGAGGCTCTCCCTCGTACCAGCAGGCAATACATCCCCGCATCCAGCAGATGGGACTAGCGGAGAAGTATTTCCAGGCTGACCCTGCAGAGAGCTGCTCTCAGGAGGAGAAGAGATGGAGCAGGAGTTTGACACCTCACCTGAGAGGGGAGCGGTGGGCAGGGAGCAGCTGATGGCCGTCAGCGGAGACTCAGGCCTCCCGCCTGCTTGGTAACTCTGTACCTTCACAGGTGACCAGCTATAGTGACTTCTTAGCACATTAGTGCCCTCTAACTTGTAAAAAAATTGCATTACATGGGTGACCAAAATGGCTCGATAAAACCAGCTGGGTTTTTTTTGCCTTTTCCCCTTGAAATCAAAAAGTATTCTTTTCAAAATCAGCATTCTGCCTTCCACACACAACAGGACTGCACGCAAAATCAAAAATGAACTGTACTAGAAGATTAACTTTTCCCTCCCCTTTTTTAAAAAAACATGGGCTTGGGATTTTGCAAGCGTTGCAGCAAGCAATTAATAAATAAGGAGAAAAATCCTTTGCATCACCGGGATGTGTTTCAAAGGGATAAAGACATCTAGCTCAGGAGGTGCAGAAGGGAACAGTACGTTCAAGACAATCCTGTAACGCAACAGTGCAGTGACACTTGAAAAACCCGTACCGTTAGGTCAGACCCCAAGAGAATATTGCATCAGTGCGAAACAAGCGGTGCCAGAGCAGAAAGGATTTCATTATGGTCAAGCGTAACATGCTTCATTTTGCACAGAAAGACTTTACATTCAGAAAAAAGCAGGTCAGACATAAATGGTAACTACCTATATATCACTGAAAATCATTCCAGCAATTACCTTCCTGTATTCACAACATAAAACTACATTTCAGGATGACACTTGTTTCAACATCCATTATAACGTGTACAACTATAATTGTGAGTTTTTTGGCTAAAACCAGGCATTTCAAGGATTCATTCATGTTTATTGCCAAGGGACTACATCTCTTGCTAAAGCCACTTACACACAGCAAACTTAAACTACAAAAGAAAGTTTAAATGATCGTTTGGTTCATTAGATTATCAGATAAAGCACATATTCACCGGTATGTTTTGTTGCTCCTAAGTCTATTATTTCCCTGGAGATTCACTGTTTAAAACTGGTATAAACAGAATGATAATTACAGCATTATATATTGGATTCTCAACATGTTTTCCATCCAACACTTCATTTTGTTCCTTTAGATAGAAAAATGTAAAAGATTTTAAGCAGAAGCTTCACCTCTTGTACTCTGACCCAGTCCAACAGACTGACTGGATCGTGACATGAAAATTAATCTCGATCATCATACTGAAAGCACGCGTGGTGCCTGCCAAGTGACTTCAACAGAATTAGAGAAAAGAAAACAGTAAAAAATTACGAATGGACAAGTGATCCTCAAGTAAATGACTTGCAGAAGGAAGAGTTAAGCTCTGCTTGGCCTGCAGAATCTCTTCATCTCAGGAGAAAGGGAGGAAGCTGGGTACGAATACACCGGTAAGAAAGCAAACTATATGGGGTGGAGAAGTGACTAATCCCAAAGCATCTGACAAACAGTTTTTTCCATTTTTTAAAAAACCCTTCTAATGAGCCTCTCACCAAGTGTCTTCTACTGATGAAGAGTCTTTCTGTAATTATTGCTCTCCATTGGAGCTGGATGCAGAACAAATGGAAAGGATTTAAGTAGCACATCCTCAAGGCTAAAGAGCTAGAAATATATTTTACGAGAGTAGCGAGCCGTTTTTTCACCATATTTTTATTCACCTCTGGCTCTCCTTTTCTCCAGGCAGAAAAGCCAGACCCAGTGCATTTCCCTTGAGTCTTCCCCATGTCATTATTAATAATAAAAATGTCTTTTCCACTGGATGGCTTGTGCAGTATCTGCCATCCTTCTCCTTCCACTACCGCAGCAATTGGCGATTCCATTTCCTTTAGGTGGAAGCTGTCCTCACAATATTCGCTCTTCCATTATACTAGTAATTGAACAGCAATCTGTCACTCACTCCAAAGGAGATGGAAAAACTGGCAAATGACACGTCGTGTCATTTTAGGCCAGCAAATGTAAATGATTTTGAGCCACATCAAAAGACAAATGGGAACATCTGTTTCTTTTCCCTGGCATGGCAGTCAGTTGAAAAAACAGGAGTTTGAGAATTACAGTAGCACCTTACAAACAAAATAAGCACATCAGACACTAAAATACCTACTTCTGGCCATATATTTTGCTTTCCTTTGCCAAGCTGACTACTGTCTGATAAACGCTTGCCCTCTACTCTTGGCCTTTTTCTTTGGGATCAGCAAGAAAATTCCACCTCCCCTCCCCCCAGCAATGATATATACCCTCATTTATATTTGGTAGAAAACAGGCTAAACAGTGATCAATCAGCACACTCAGCAAGCTGGCAGAGCAAGCGGCACTTCTAACTAAACTAGAAAACCGGATATTCTGTGAGTGCCTGCCCACTTTATGTTAAGGAGAGGTATTTAGCATGCACAGTGATACGCCAGCTGCAGTAGCAGCCCCAAAATGAAGCAGATGATATGATAAATAATAAGTCAGCAGTCAGACAGGAGAGGGCTGGGACAAGATTCCAGTGAAAGTCCAGAGGACAAACCCTCAGCAGCAACATAAGAGCAGGTTTTAGTATTCTTCCCATTTTCTCTGCAAGAGCCCGGAGGTACATGGCTTTTTACATCTTTCACTGTTCTTGCGACAAACATGGCAAGTCAAAAATATTAATAGCCTGCTGGCCTCTTGGCTCTTCCCATTTCAGAGCTGAATAAGCGCCAGGTTTGCTCATACACCTACTCCTCTTCAGCAGTACCTTTCTTGGAGCCGAGTCTAAAGTCAGTGTCTCAAAAAATGGCCCAAAAAGACATCTCAACAACTGGTGCAAAAAAGACGTCTTCCATAAGACCTACAGATGATGTATTTTTAGTTAAAGGAAGAAATTCTGTGTAACTAGTACAAACAAGTCTACTTCCACTTCTCCAACATAGATGTTATTAACAATGAAATTGTTTTCACTACTGAGAAAGCTTACTGTACTTATATCACCCATAGTGTGTCAAGAGTAAGGTTCCTTCCAACAACCTCCTCCTTCCTGGAGTAGGAAGAGAGAGAGAGTTGATGCCTCAGGCTCACACACCTTGTTTGCCACTCTCACATACCTGTGTATGTACCAGATCCCCGAGTACCAGGTTTGACCCCATTACATCCCTGTACAGAACCTGCCACGCGAGTCTGGGTGCACTCCCTGGCTCTCCAGGCGGGCAGGGACCGTGCCCCTCTCCCAGGGTCTGGCCTGGGAATCTCTCCCCAGGCTGGGCCACACTTCTATGACAAATGCAAATGTAAAAACTGAGATCTGGCAGATAAAGGATGCCAGTTTTGAATTATCTTTTTTTACAGCACAAAAATATTGCCATGGTAATCATACTAATGATGTGAAGGTCCTTCTAGGATAACAGAGAAACTAATTAATGAGAAAATTAAAAATATAGGCCTTGATCTTACAGCTGTTACATTCTGCACACACGAGTAGATATGCTGACTTCAGTGAAACTCTGCATACGCAAGAAGAAAGCACACATATATCCATATATACACTCAAGATCATATAGCCTGCAACCATTTTCAGACTGTTCCAGTGGCAAAATGATATCAGACATAAAACA